GGTTTTGAAACATTGGTTATCTCATGATATTGTCAAAGATGAGGCCGATAAATGTACTAAATAAAGATTAATTGACATACGTAGTAGGAAAAAAAAATGAAGACATCTTACACAGAGAAAGGCGATAAGCTGTTAAGGCAAAAATACAAAATATGAGAAAATAGACTGGTTAATATTACAGTTTTATTTATATAGTGATGGATTCAGAAGGGACGGCACACACGCTGTTGTGCTTGACAAGTCAGTGGCCAGTAGCTCTGTGCCTGGTAGTTCCACAGCATGATGCTTTGTAACTGTTGTCTTTTGCGTTCTCATTGCTCAAAAAGTCAGAACAGTTTATCTAACCTTACTCAGAGGATGAAAGAAGACTTCTGTCTTCTAGTGAAATGAGCTGTTTGAATTTCAGTAAACCTTGAAAAGATAATAAGAACGTTGAATTTTACTATCTTGATCTGTTTACATCTGTTTACTATTTCCTAATACTAATAATTTGCAAAGCGTACAAAAAACAGTTGTCTGCAGTATCTTTAAGTAGAAGCTAGCTAGTTATCTTCTGTGATATTTAAGTGTTCTATTGATAGATTACTGTATTAATGGAAAAACATAGGTTTTTTTGTGAATATGTGTTTGTAGTGTCATTTGTATTTCTGTCTATATCCTGAATTTTTGAAAGAAATTCTTACACTAGTTTTGATTCCCAGGTGGACGAATAACCTGGACACTTAGAATTTGAAGTGTCAGGTAAAAGCTACACAAAGTTTTTAGCTTTTAGAAATGGTCTGATAATAAGTTCTAGCTGCAATTTTAGCAGTTCATCTGCCATCTCTTTATACAGTATTATTATTGATTTTTCAAAATGAAAAACTAAAAGCTTTCCAGGAAAACAATATTTTAATTACTGATCTAGTTAATCATACTGTCAAGACTTATAATGACCTTGAGATTTTCCATTTTAATATATCCGAAAAATTAGAAAAAATGAGTAACTGAACCTTTTGGATGGAGATATCCGAATGGATTTCTCTTTGCCCCTGTAGAGTTACTGTTTTTGCGTAGGACTGTATCTACATTTTCCAAGATGAGCATTTGGTAGATCCACTAGGCTGTAATCTGACCAGTTTAGGAACTCATCATCTTGCCTACTCATGTTATGGTTTTGAGTAGCATATGGTAGCATGGAAATAATCCATTGTGGACATTGACATTGTCGTGATAATGTTTCAGTAGCCTAATCTCTTATACTCCATGCATCGTGATAGGAAGGTCTTACATGTAATCTCTTCTCTTTTCTATCTCATAGCTCATCAAACTTGGATAATGCAGAGTTCTCCTGAATATTTCTTACATAATAATACCCTGAAGTGTTCATATTGTTGACAGTCCTTTGGAATTGTTTCTGTTTTGCTTAGCTAGTGCTAGTTTTAACACAAAGTATATTAGATTCCTTTCCTGCAAGGAGAAAAGAAGGACCATGATAAAATCTCCACAGGAATTTGATGCATGTTTCAGGAATGCTTTTCTGCAGTCTCAGTGCTTCAGATTTCATTTTCTTTATCCACAAAATAAATATTCCCCATCCCCACCCCAGCCTTCTCATTCACTAGTGGTAAATCTTTCTTTCAGGATAATATCTGGAAATATCCTTGATTCTACCACTAAAACACTTTTTCTGTCACCACCCTGTCCATCTCTCTTTTCAAATGTGTAATAATGGAAGTTAACAGAGATATTAGATTGTAAATAAATATTATTATTTACAAATATTTGATTTATTTTTCTTCCTTATCTTTTTTGCACTTATGTTGACCTGACATAAAGTAAAGAGAAAAATGATAGAAGTCCAGAATACTTGAACATGAAATAATGAAGTGATTATATTATTTTCAGATTAGTAGAAATAAAAAATCAAAGTAAATCTAAATGGAAAAAAATGTAGTGGTGAAGTAGTTACCTTAGTAAGTTAATAGATTTAGCTCTGTTGTTGATTATTTGCAAGATTTCTGTCAAACTTCAGTGAAAATGACTTCTTAATGAGAATCTTTGATCTCTTCCTCACAGTCCTGTTCCCTTTTCAGATCTATTCCATGATATTTCTTGAATGATTTTTGAATATTATTCACATTCTCTCTCTCATGTCTGTTCTTTTTTGTTCACTCTTTCTTACTCTCTTTTTTTTTTCTCCTCCTATCAAATCTTGTTATTTGTTCTCTTGGGAAACCATCTAATTTATTTAAAGGCTCTATTCTTCCTGACAAACTCAATTTGAATATTGGTATATGTCAATATTTTCAGGCATATGTTTGCATAGAGCTTTTGCTCTTAGGGTATGAGGAAAAGTTGTTGGAAACTCAAATACCAAAATGTCTTTAATCTTGAAACCTTTTAATTCCACTGTGTTGTCTGAAGTTTTAGTAGTGTAGCTGTAGCCTGTGTAAGGGAATGAGGCAGTGCATTAAGTCCTCCTTTTCTCTTGGGAGCTTTCCTTGTGTTAAACTAGACTGTGTCCATTACATGGAGAGCAGCTTAGAGGCTGCTACACTGTATCTGCTATTCAGTAGTCGAATTGCTAAATTTTGTACTAATTTAGAATGATGCTTCATTGTAAATGAATGCATCTATGAGCAGGTTTGTTACAACCTACTAAACTTCTCCACAACATATTAATATGATACTAAGGCAAAGACATACTGACATGGATAGCTGACTCTGATAGAAAACAAAGCTCAAATACCATTTCCCTTCCATCCCTCTTTTCCAAAAGACACTCAGAAAAATCTAGTATGTAGCATAAAACTGCTTTTGCTCTCTTTGTAAAGAATTTGTTCAGAATTTTCACATGTTGTCTGGCAGTGCTACAGCTGCGCTCTGCTTTCAGTTTTCCTCAAGTTTCTTGCTGAAAGACTTCATTCTCCAAAACAATGTTTCCCATGCTAATAGCTTGGAATATGGTAAAAGATTTTCCTAGCAAAGCTGGCTCAGAAGTACGTAGATGATTTTAAGATCTGTCTTTCTCCTATGCGTGATTTTTTTGATTTTGCATAGATATTCTTTTACGAATGGATTTTTTTCTAATCAAATAGATTAGAAAATCTTTATGATATTCTACTATAAAGAAAATTCTGACATGAAGAATTGAGAAGTTACAGGCATATCTCAAAAAGCTTATTGTGCAGACAATAACAAAAATTTAGTTCATTATGCTAAACTATTATAGTAAACACAGAAAATCAACAGAAACCCTGAAATGTCTTTGTAACTATCGCTGTATTTTCTCCTGTAGATGCTCCTAGAGTTAGATTGCTTCACTTTGTCTTGGCACACTTTTATTTGTGAAATGTGATACGGTAATGCTGTTTTAACAAAGATTGATATGTCCCATGATAGTAATACTCTACTAGAATGCAGTATTTTAAAAGATCATTTTCAAGTAATATAAAATAGTTCCTGCTAGATTTCTTTGCCTTTCCATGTATCCCTTCTTGCTCTTTTCCTTCAGAGTGGGTATCATACAAGGGAAGAATATAACAGCACTCACTAGCAAGATGAATGGGAGAGATGTTAAAAACCTGTCTATTGGGAGCAGGATCTTTCTTCTTTAGTTGTGCCCTGGTCTGAGATGAAATTGCTGTTGGGCAGTTAAGGAGGCACACACAGACTTCTTGCTCTTTAGGAATAGAGAATAAATAAACACCACATGAGTGCTGATGATACTTCTTGCTAATGGCTGGTTTAATTTGGGAGCTATTTGGAATAGTTAGTTATATTTTGGGTTCCTATTTTTGTTTGCTTTAACTCATAATTGCAGGATCATATTTGATTCCTTTTTTTCTTTTGAAAATCATACACATTTGTTGGATGCCAAATTAATCTACAAGTTGTTTAAAAAAATCCTTTGAACTGCAACAGGAAAGCTGAATGCTGTTCCCTGACATTTTTCAGCTGTAATATTTGTATATTTTTCCCCAGTCATTTTGTCATGTGTTTTATTGAATCATGCTGTTTACCCCACATCAGTCACCTCTATGGCAAGAACTCTGTTAAATGTAAACTAATGCAAATTAGAAGAATTGGTCTTAGAAACAATGCTGTTAATGTACTGGAACATGCTGGGTGTCACAGAGGAGCTTGGTTTGAAATTCCATAAAGCAAAGAACTTGGAAACCAGCATGTGACTACTGTTTACCTGCATTTTATATCTTCTAGTTCTCTAGGCTGCTCGTTTAAAGAGGTATTACCCTTCACATTAATGAAATGGTTTATCTATTAGTTTTTCAGATTGGATCATTCAAACTATAGAATTTTGTATATATCTAATTTTCTCCATTATTTGACATCTTGCATAATTGATTGCTGTCCTTTAAACTGAAGATGGCGCTGTCAAAAAAAAAAATACAAAGAGGCCATGACATTTTTTTGGCTTGATAGCTTGATACAGATTTAATGATTCTGCATGATACATAAGGTGTGAATTACTTACCTTCTTTTGTCTTTAATTATCTCCCATAGAAAACGGGGAATGAGTGTTCCTGGCTGAGAAGACATTGTTCGTTCTGATAAATAGGCTTGGATACTGTATTGTTGTTTTACCAATTTAGGTCTTCACAGACAGAGCTGACGAAGTCTAATTTAGAAATCTTAGAGAATAAAATTATTTTCAGTCTGAAAGAGTTGTCTAAACTTGTACATACAATGCTAGACAAGTGTTGATGTTGCACAGTGTCATTATCTTTCTTGCTGGATCAGAAATTGCTAACAGAAAAACTTAGGTAGCCTAACTTACCAATATAAAAGTGTGGGTTTTTTTTTTATTTGGGTTTTTATTTATTTACTTATTTATTTTAAATCTGGTCATTGGGTTAATGAAAAATGATTCTAAAATAACAATATACTAATTCAATAACTAGAACTTGTGCTATAGCTTGCCATCATCTCTTTACTTATTCTTTTCACTTAGGTGTGACTGCAATTATTTACGGGTTTTCCCTTTTCTTTGGTTTCAGATGCGAATGTCTCTCTGGTTTATGTGGTTTCCCCGTGTGCGAGGCAGGCTCCGTTCCCCAGATAGTCTCGCGTGGAGATGGAACACCTGGCAAGTGCTGTGATGTCTTTGAGTGTGTCAATGGTACGTGGAGTTTCTCTTGTAACTGGAGAGGAATAATCTGTTTCTCTGTGGGAGACGTTGGGTTTTGGATAATTTTTAATGTGTCAAGGTTTAAAGGAAATAATTTACTTGAAGTTTATTTAATAAGAAGGAACTGGAAGTTGTATTGAAGTGGGAAATGTGTCATTCGAAAGTGGTATCTGGGTTCTTTAATTTCTGAAGCATTTTTCCCTATAACTGCAGAGATTTTTAGTTTTGTTAAAGTTAAAACGCCTTATATATCTCAAGAATGCTCTGTGCAGTTCATATCGTATGTTGGAAGGAAACCTAAGTGTTTGACTAATGACAGATAGAAAAGGAAAATTATTCTTGAACATTTGCATGCTCAGATAATTTCTAAGAATAAAAATGCATGTATGTGCTTTCATAAACACTTGTTCAATTGTGCATTTTTATTTTTGAAACAGTTTTTACTTTTGTGTTCTTTTACAACATATACACAAGTATTTATATAGATGCCTTTCCAGGAGAAGGTTTTTGACAGACAATATCAAAATTGTCAAAATATCTAGACAAAAATATTGCAAATGCTGGTTTAAAATTAATGTAAGTATTCAAATACTTGTTTTAAAATAATACATGGCACATATGTAGTAGCTAATTTTCTCTTGTAGTAATAGTAGTAGAGGGCATTAAATATTAAAAAAGAAAAAAAGCTTATAAAAATTTATTCCCATGAATCAAAATAATCAAAATCATAGGCTTTTTACCTTTTGGATCATTTCTTTCCATGTGTTGAGTAAGATTGTAAATACTGTAGAATTAAATGCAATTTGCCTAATTTGCTTTTATACTACTTGTTCCACTAAAGTAATATATATCTTTAATATTATTATTATTATTATTTTGCTGTCCTATTAGGTCATTTTGATTTGTAAAGTTTTAAGCATTTGATTTGAGTTGTACACTTCATAGTGCTTGGTTCAGGAGTTACTTTGACTCTTTTGACAGAAGATGCTAAGGCAGTTTCCAAGGTCATGTCTTTCTTTATAAGTCCTCTGTATTTGTGTATAGGTTCCTAATGCTCCTGTTGGCTCCTATTTCCCTTCTGTCTATAAAATATCTCTGGATATATATCATATGATGATCATATGATGATTTCAGATGTTGATGAGATTTTTCTGTTGCCCACTTCTTTTCATTATTTGTCACTTTTAYATCTGATTTCCCAAAAGTAGTAGTACTCATTTTGCATAGTTAACAGTGAGCTTGGTCTCTCTTTGCTCTGCTGCTTTTGCATTGTTGCTTTATTGCTTACTGTAATTCCCTCCATAGGTAATACCTGGTACAGGGGTCAGGTTTTCTTATTGTGACTCAGGCTTTCCCATTCCTGATCTTCTCTTGGTGTACAGTATGAAGACAGACTAAATTGGAAGGAAAAAGAGGAGTTTTTGAAGGGAGCTTTGCTGCCAGAAAAGGGAGCAAGRCTCCCTTTTTCTGGCTTTGCTGCTAGGAAAGGTAGTGGGAGGAAAGTTTGTAGGAAGAGATAATCTTTTGTTTATGTCTTAAAACATCAGTATTAAGTACTACAAGTACTGTAATGTGAAATATAGGAAAGTATGAAAAATATTTTTTAAAATGGTTTCTCRTTAAAAAGCAAAAACTTTTTTTTCTGATAAACTTAATGGAAAAGTTAGATACATAACATAGGTACATAGATACAACCTGTGTTTTTAAGGGACATTTCTCTCTATACCATAGTCTGATTTAAAAAAAAAAAAAATAAAAAATAAATTTAAAAAAAAGGTACAATACAAATCTGGATATGTTTTAAGTATATTTAAAACTCTGATATCTCAAGGTGCAGTTACTATTGATGCTTTAATATGGGGAGGAAAAAAAAGGAAATATTTAACATTTTTAGGTTTATAAATATTTTTATCAAAAAGCTGGTTGCATCTGTTGAACATCTGCTCATGAGACTTCYGCACATGGCATTTGGATCATGTGGCAGATAACTAGTGAGGAAGACAAGGAAGTAAAAATTTGGTCTGTATTGCTGTACAATTTGGAGTTTCTCAGGTGCTGCTTAGTGCAGTCTGGTGCAAGTCATATCGGGGCAAATAAGGCAAGTCACACGTGCAGCATAGGCAGCAGTATCCTATGAAACTGGCTCCAATAATACCTTACTAGATAAATGTCTAAGGCAACAATAAATTGGTGGGGGAAGAAATCTCTGCTGTTACTTACGTCAGTTGAAAAGCCTCTCTATGAGACTGATAGTTTAAAACCCCAGTTTAAAAATGTAGAATAGAATTACTATGTATCAAGGACAGATGAACAAAATATCTTAGTGATATTCATAGATAGTTTTTTTTCTTCATTAAAAAGAAATTGCCATAGAGRTAATTAAATCCGAATCGGTAAGATATCGGACACACTGTTCCCGACAGTGGAGGTGGTTACTTACTGGCATGAATTGTCAGGATGATGTTGAATTCCTTATCTTGTTCTTTTAAAATTAAGATGCCTTCTATAGGAGTATACTTTAATCAAATGCAAGTTGCAGGATTTGTATGTAAGCAGGGAAATTACARTACAGTAATTGACCGGGTAGGCAAGTTAGTTACTTCTGAGTTTGACCATCTCTGAACAGTCAAGAGGAGGCATATGCAGTGACATCAGTGCAGTTTTCCTGATGCTATAGCACCTATTTTGTGCAAAAGCAGGATAGCCTTCTGTAATATTTATTGCAAAAAAAAATGCTAATGCTTTAGAATGACAAAATTGTACTTTCATAGGCGAATTAGGGAGGCAAGAAAATGATTTGCTGCTGCAGGATGGCACTGCTGGCCACTTGAGATAGGTGGTGTACAGCAACAGCAAAAGAAGTTTAACATGAAAGATAAGTTCTGGTGTGAAAAACTGTTCACAGTATGTTCTCTTTGCTGGTGGGCAGATCAGGATGTTTCACAGACTTTTTTTTTCTGGATTTAACACATCCTGCAGATCTTTGTGTGCTGATATTTGTAACCAGTGCACATTTTAAATGTCTGTTTGGTTGGTCTGTCTTAGAAAAGTAAATTCAATATGTAGTGAAAAAAATCTCCTACAGTCCTCATTCTGTGCAGATATTCACTTCTTTCTAGTTATTCTASTTTAATCATAAGTACAGCAGTAAGTCAATAAGCTAATTTATTATTTATGCTTCTGATTCACACAAGGCAAGACCTTAATTCCCCAATTGTGTGTTAATCTGCTGTTTCTTGTAGTTGGTTAAAGATAATAARCTATGTAAATGTTATTTCTCCCTGAAATGACATTTACTCCTGCTTTTAGGAATACTCCTAATGTTTCAGTTTAATGATTTAATTGGAACTTGTTATTATTTATTGTTTCTTTGTTGTATCCACAGTACTTGTAGCTGTTCCAGGTTTGCAAAGGTTGAGATTCTTTTCTTTCCTGGGTCTATATTATAGGAAATAATTTATAAGGCAGTACTCAGAGGCATTTGACTTGAATGTCAAGAGAAAAATATATTTGTACAATAGATAGATGATGTTACTAAGGGTTCTGTGTGGAGTTTTGATCAGCATGAATGTGCCTAGAGATCAGAGTATTTTGTGCAAAACTATTTGACTAATGAGAGCATATGTGTTTTTTAAAATGTAGTGCCTTTGTGTTTACAAGAATTCACCATTAAAATTATAGGATAAGTATTACTGTCRTTAAAATGTCGCTCTTCTCACTAAGGTCAGTCAACATAAAAGGTGAAACTTGCATTGCAGCCACATCTTGCTGCATGGGAATCCAGGGACTGGAACATAACAGTGGGTAGCAGCTGCATACACAGTCAAATGTGCTCATTTCTGAGAAGCATGAGGTAGATGTAGGATAGACAACTTGTGAAATCTTTGGGAAATAGCTTCATCTTAACGTAAGAAACTGACAGTGGCAGTTTTGCCTATTGTTTGTTTCTAGCTTTGTAACACAGTGCAACTTTCAGTGAAATTAAGGCTATATATTGCTTTGTTTAAGCATGGATTGTTCTACTTACCATGAAATTTTACTTTTTGTACTCATCTGAAATCTTTCCATCTAGAGGACACTATACAGTATTTGTTATAAATTTGGGGTAACTTGAGCAAGAGTTTACCGAGATGCAGTCTTCCCCCCCTACTTCTTGTAGGTTTTCTTTTGATTCCCCCTATACTTAATCTGTGTTTTTTATCTATTAATCCTGCTTGCTGCCTCTTCTAATTGGAGAGGTTGTAAAGAAAGAGAGATTCAATATTAAATGAAGAGTTCCCAGAGCATCAGAAAATGAAACTAAAGAGGCTCCAAAGAATTCCATTGAGACTGGAAGTAACTGATGCTGCCCTAAAGGAGAAAGTAGGGGGGAAAGAAGAGAATTTCTTATAAGACCAAAACTTTCTTCTTTTATAATGCTGTTTCAGGCAGTACTCGTGGTCATACAGTGCTATGGAAGTAATCTCCTATATCATCAAGCTCTTTCTCCTGATGTGACTGATAATCTCTGCTTTTAATTAGTATATTTTTTTCCCTCATCTGAGAAAATATCTGACATAAATGAGCCATTTCTCTTTTCTCTGTCTTCTGAGTTTCTTCAGACTTGCTTCTCTCTTTGGTGGTACAGCATGAGGAGAGATTAAATTTAACCACAGTCTTGTCACCTGTAATTGCAATTACGCCTCCCAGCAATTGCTRTTCCATTTCCTATTCCCTTTATGCGTCACTAAGTTATGGTATGCAAAAGGATAGAATGAAATAGTCAATTTTGAATAACTTAAGTCCAAATCGCTTCAGTCATTCATATCAGTTAGCGAAAATGAGAAGCTAGGTAAATTGTGGAATTTATAATATTTATGGTGTTTATTTGTTAAATTGATGTTGTTTACAAAGAGTATTGGATGCTAAGTGTTGTAGTTCTGTGTAGTTGTAAAAATAAAGYAGCGCTTTGGTTTCAGCGAAGTATTCAATAGTTACAAGTTGGATTTAGTCCTGTTCTGTCTTTCTAGATTACTTWTTTTAAGAAGATGCAGAACCAAAGGACTTTCGGAATAGTCCTACTGTTATGTTTATATTGTTTAAAGCAACATTTTCCCTRTGATCTGAAGATATCTTATTTCCACATATCTTGTTCTGAGATATTTGCAAGCAAACTAAAGTATCTAGTGTATTGTTCCTGGTCACTGTTAAATGGATAAATTCCCATAAAGCTTATTGTATCTTATTTTTTTATTTTTTTAACTGTTATCATGGATTTTGGAAAAGAGAAAGTTTTTATGCCTTTGTTTATACTGACACAGGATTTAAATTTWTCAGCTTCCTTCTCTTTTATTTAGTGGAAAATTCACAGTACTTTTACCAGCTTCTTCCTGGAACCTGATAGAAATTCTTCTGTATACTGGAGGAGTGTCCAAAGTACTGGAATCATGTGCCTTTCAGTCCTTTAAACAACAGAAAACTGTTTTGAATTTAATTTCCCCTTTGGACRGGCAGGAATCTCTCTGATGCTGCAGGAGAAATGCCAGAATTTGCCTACAAACAGATGCTGAAGCATCTCGTGCACTTGGAATAACTGTATACAGAATTGYTTCCTAGCAAGCGATAGATTGCAAAACTTAAATGCTATTTTGGGCTGTTTTGTGTCTTTAATCAAAGAGGAAAAGAACAGCAATGGGAAAACTGCAGATACTTCAACATTGGAAGCTTTATTTTAGACTAGGTCAGTCAGTAGAACTATATTTGATTAGACTTAAAAGTACAAGGTAAAATGCTTTAGAAAACTGATTTGATGAAACGGATTATATCTGTTTTCAGTTCGGATCTGTTGTATCTGTGTTCAATTTAGTTTGAACTCCTTAGAAATGAGCAGGGTCCATGCAGTGTGCAGCTGTGCGGTTCTGAGCGACTCCGGCTTTAGGGCTGTTGCTCCCAGAACTGAAAGCTTTGGCTATATGAGGCAATGTGGAGAGTTACGTGGGTGCCAAAATTCCTTCTCACTTAACTCCAGGGCTGGAGCTTCTATGCCAAAACAAGTACAGTTTCTCTTAGTCATGCTTAACTGTGTATGGGATCGGAGGCCTGATATCATCTGTCCTACCAGAGCTGGTGAGAAGGCAGCATAAACTCGGTATTGTTCTGGGTACTGCGCCCTCTGCTCTGGCTCCTTTCACAGATGCTCCCTCGTACGTCTGTGCTTGCTCTGGATCACTCCTGTTTTACTGGGTTATCTGATAGTTGGCAGACGTTGAATTGATGTGCATGAATCCATGGCCTGAGTGTCTGTCTCTTGTCTATTTCGTGATGGTGGCTTGTATCAGAAAAGGGACTTGGTGCTTAGGGAATTTTAAGTTTTTTTGTTCTGGAAAGTTCAGGCAGTTAAACATCTTTGTCACACAGCACAGCACTGACACCTGAAGAAGTCTGTCTTTAGTATTTTGTTTGTTAGTAGTCTCTTTGTATTGAGGGTTACCAACCTCTAGGAGAAGATGCATTTATTTAATGTTAACTCTTAAGTCTCACTATTCTCTCATTCCTTTGTGGTTGCTATATGTGTTCTATAGCATGAATGTTGCTGTAATATTAGGCTTTCACTTTCAGTAACAAAACCCAGGGTTTTTTCTTTAGGAAACAGTACTTGGTTTGTTTTGAAAGTCTTAGTACTGTGGCCTTAAGCACAATTCTAACACAAGGAATCTTTGTCTCTCAACTGAATGTATATGATTAGCTCAGTAGTTTAACATGAATATATACACTACCATAAATCTGACTTAAAAAGTGAAATATTATAGTGCTTTTCATTGTAGGAATAAAACATACTGTTTCCTTTTAGAATTTACAGTTGTTGTTTGTACAGTTTGGGTATTTTAAAAATGAATGATAATTTGTGAAAGGAAATGCTTCTACTTTCCTAACTAGTTGTGAATTCATGACTGCTATTTGAAGATTTAAAAAAAAATAGCAAAAATCTGGGAAGCTGTAATCAAAACAGTGAAGTCAGGAGCAAATGAATTAAAGACCTTTATAGTCGGCACTTTATCCTTTTTGAGAAAGTTTTTAGACTAACAGCTTGAGCTACATAAACTTGAAATATTTTTTAAGTGTTTGTTTATGTGGATGACTTTCTAATGAGGTCATAGCTGTTTTCCTGGACACAGTGGTATTTCCTCTTTACTTTCTCTTTACACAGCTTTCAATGTTATGCCTTTAAGACAGACCAGGCATATAAAAATCAAACATTGCTCAGGAAATTTCCAAGTTTTAGCCTCAGCATTTTACAGTCACATTAAATGATGTGAAACTGGAGCTGAATGTGTGCAGGGAGAAATATTAGAGTACTGAAATACTTTAGAATTTAGAAGAAAACCTGTATTCATGTCAAAAGTAACTCAGATGAAAAGATTGTGACACCTCAAAAATTAGAGGCTTGGGAGGAAGGATGAAGAATCTACAGTTTCCGAGTTTTCCTTTAAATAATTTTCATGCCCTGTGTGAGATGGTGTATAAATCCCTCCAAAATCAAGCCGGCATAATTTTCAGTAGTATGTTGCTGGCCATGTGTACATAAGTAAGTAGTTTTTTTCACATCATCTCTGGAAGTTAACAACATACATGGTTGTCTACTTTCTTGAATGGCTAAACAGTGCAAAGATACACCAGTTCAGGCATTCATACTTTAGTGCTAGTTAATATACTACAGGGAAGTAATCAGTGCAAATTCATTCTGTGCTGTCTAGAAATTCATTCTTTTTCTTCTTTCTTCCTTTCTTTCCTTTGCTATATTTAGTCCAGATGTAATGAGAGTTGACATTCTTATCTAGAGTTTGGCAATGTTTTTAAATCATGGTGCTRTTACTGAAATAAATAGCCTCCTGTTCTCAGAACCTTTGGCTTTTGAGGCCAATAGAACCAAAGTTTCTGAAACCCATGTATGCTTTATGGGTACTATTTTACCTCAGCTATGTTTTCACATATCTTGAGCTGTGTTCGTGGAAGGCCAAGAAGATTAAAGCAAAGTTGTTCCCAAACGGGAGGAAGATTAAACTGTGAAGTAATAATTTCTTAGTGACTAATATGGCAGAGGAAATTAGATGATATATTTTAGCTGACTACAAATTTGAGTATTTGAGTCCCAGTGACTTGATCCTCGGCTGTAGAAATGTGCAGTGGTCTGAACTTCTCCATCTGTGGTTCCCCGGGCAGTGAGTAGTGTGAGTGGCAGTTTGTATGTGCTCCACTCGCCCCAAGCTCAGAAGCCCTAAGGAGTCTGCATGGACCAGAGTGTGAGGATCTCCTCCATAATCAGGAATCAAACCTCTTCAGGGGCATGGGCAGTGTTTAAATCTAGTGTGTTTTGCTGTTTCTGTTAACATAAATTTTTTTCATATGTAAGAAGTAGACACAAAATACTCCTTTCTAGAACCTTCAGGAATTTCTAGAGGCTTTCTAGTTCCCACTAAATATAATTATGAATTTATTGTAAATTAGTGCTTGGGTACAGATTCAGGTGTACAAGAAATGGTCTTACTGTTTTAAAACTCTAAAATGATCATATAATAGTTTTGTTATAATAAAAGTTTTATGTTTTATGTAAGGAACATAGATGGTCATGTGAATAGCTCTAGGTTGTTTGAACTGAGGTAAATACAGTTCATACCATGTCATGCAGTCATGAAGGACAGATGATTATCTTTCAATATATATCCTTATAGATGAGACAGCTGTAGTACTATTTATCCAGCAGAGCCTTTTAGAAAGCAAAGTTATATTTGTGAAAACAGTTTCTGCTATTTTTTCTTAAAAGAGAATAAGCTATGGTTTCGAGTGCTGAAATTTCAGATAGCTTTTAGATCACCGAGATCAATGAGAAATATTTAATCCTTATGAAGAACAGTACCCTAATTTTCCTTAAATGTATTTTTGAATTAAAGCTGTCTCTTTATCTCTTTGTCAGTAGCCAGCTACATGAGTTTGACTACTTCACCTTCATCATATCTGCAAAATACATTACTTCCTTTTTTCTTTCTTTTTTTTTTTAAATTCTTTCAGAAGTGAAGCCAACTTGCATATTTAACAGCATGGAATATTATGATGGAGACATGTTTCGGATGGATGCCTGTCGTTTCTGTCGATGTCAAGGTGGAGTCTCCATTTGTTTCTCTGCCCAGTGTGGTGAGCTGCACTGTGACAGGTATTATGTGCCAGAAGGAGAGTGTTGTCCAGTCTGTGAAGGTACAGTGTCTATCTATTCTTATTCATTTGTTAATTTTGCTGGAGGGTTTTGTCTTTTAATGAGAAAGCAGAGCCTTATTGCTCCTAGATGTAAGCTTGCAGTTTTCTTCTTAATAATTTTTTGCTTCCTTAAAGWTGTATCCCAGTATACTGTTTGACTTTTTGCAATGTTTTCCTCATGCGGATGAAGTTTCTTTTCCCTTGTGCCTCAAAATTTTCTCAGTCAGGTGTACAGGACTTTTTAACTTTTCTAATGTGCACGTAATGTAGGCTACTTGGATTTTTCAAAAAGGTTTTTGAAGGATCCTTCACCCGAAGGCTCTTAAATAAACTAAGCACTAGGTATAGAATAAGGTGGAGGATCTTTGGATGGTAAGTAACTGTTAAAAGATAAGAGATAGGAAAAAAGTAGTTCCTGCAGTAGTAGTGTCTTGTGCTTTTTGAAGTATTGATAAAACTTTCAGGAAAATGAGTAAATTCTGAGGTTGTAGTATTTACTGAGAATTTTAGGTAATTTRGGATCATAGATAAATTAAAAATAGCAGAAGAATAATCTGAATGATGGGGTAACAAAATTACAACGCGAGTAAATGTCAAAGTCATACATATCAAAAAAGTTTCAGTTGTACATATGCGGTGAGCTGTGTACTAGTATTTTTCATAGGAGAATTGCATCTTGAGCTATTATAATAAATAATATTATGACAATGTTGTAATGAAATCAGCTTTCATTAGGAGATRAAGAGAAAATGCAGTGATAGAAGCTATTAGGAAGGAAGAGAAACCAAAATGTAAGCCACACATGTAATGGCAATAGCATACATTACACTTGTGTTTTATAATGTGCAATTTTGATCTTTAAATCCTATTATTACTAAGATCTATAAAATTGTAAGTTCAAAGGCATGAAATTAACTCTGTGTGAGGAATTGCTAAAACTACTGAAATTTTATTGTGAATAACAAATAGTGGGGAGCTAGAGCATTACAACTGTGAACGTCATGAATAAACTGTTATCTCTTCTGATACAAAAACTAAGAACCATTAAATGAAACTAATAGTCAACAGTCAAAATCGGAAGGGGGAAAAAAAAGAGAAAATATTCTTCATACAATGTGGTGCTAAGCTGAAAAAGTGAAATGTGGAACTCAGGATTCTAAGTTTTTATAGGCTTAAAATAATTCCCCAAATTTTGTCCATTAAAGACTATTAAGTGCAAACTGACTACCCTGTTCACAAAGATCTGGATTTTTTTTGTCATTTAATATTTTTATATTTATATATTTTTATTGTATATTTTGGTTAATGATATAGTTTATGCTGTAGTTGTAACCAAATGCTACAGTTTGTCAGGTAGGTTGAAATAAAATGTGTATAGAAGTTGAAATACAAATATCTATGGACTTAAATATTCTAAAGAAATATCACTTTATGCTTGCCCTCTATTTAAGACCTTGCCTAGTTATTCATTGTTGACTATATTTGGAGAGAGGATGCCAGACTAGATGTCCTTTTAGTCTTTCTTAATAGAATAGTGCCTATATTTGTAAGTCTTCAAATTGAAAAAAAAATATATATATTGGATTCTGTGCTATTCATATAGCACAGTCATTTATTTAATGACATAACACAGTCATTTATTTAATGGTAGATTGAAAAAGTCTAGAAATGGCATCTGAACTTTGAAATCATTCCAAAGTAACTTCAGGTCCACTCATAAAARAAATTGCAAATAACATGAATCTTTAAGGGTTTTCAGTGCTTCCTCCATATTCACATATCAGTTATAATTCTATCCATGAATTACATGATAAAATGCACTTTATTTTCTGGAAATGAGAGTTAATATTTTCTGAGCCAGAGTAGTTTGTTAGAGATGAAAGGTAGTCTTAAAACACGAGAGTTGTAAATTTAAGAGATTAGAAAACATTTTAATTTTAAAGTGTCTTAATTATTTTTCAAAACACCTGCTTCAAAATAGTTTAATCCATTTTACTTAAATAGAGTTCAAGCAAAGACTAGGAGGGGATTGAATGCCAGAGAGGGAGAAATTGTTTTTCTGAATGTTCAATGTTTGCGTTCTAAGGATCGTAAATGGATGAAGTGGCTTATAATGAGATCAGAGCTCCTAGCACTGCTCTTAGTTTCATTTGCACTTCAAGTGGAGTTCTTTCAAAAGGTCGTTGATGTAACTTCAGAAAAATATTCCAGGTTTCATCGAGTCCTGTTTTGCTGTAGATCAGACAGCCTTTCTCTCTCAAGTTCTTCAAACCTAACACTTCAGTTTCCTTAACAGTCTGCTAAGTCAATATATATTAAAAAAAAAAAAAAAAAAAAAAAGGTATTTATGCAAGATTAGGCATACATTTCTAGGCAGAAGAATCAAATGAGAAAATACTAATATTAAGCCTTTTTTAGGAGAGGTAAAAAAATGATTTGCAGCAATATTTTCCAGCTCTGCTTGTTGAATATACAACAGAACAGAAATAGTTAAAAATGGAATAACAAATATCTGAATAGCCAATGAGTTGAATTAGAATTCCTATCAGAAAATTTCAGTATCACATTATCCAAGTTGTTGCTCTGCTTTATCACTATATAACTTTTTTCCTTTTTTTTTTTTTTTTTTTTAATAATTCGGGAGTACTTTTATGTCTTTCTCCTATTTATGTGATGCAATATAGTCTTGCCATTATTTATAAACTTCAGTGAATTCTAGGCATAGGAGGGAATATAAAGTGTCTTGTTCTATTGGAATTTGTCTCCCTTCAGACCCAGTTTATCCAGTAAATAACCCTGCTGGCTGTTACGCCAATGGTCAGATCCAAGCGCATGGAGACCGCTGGAGAGAAGACGACTGTACTTTCTGCCAGTGTATCAATGGAGATCCCCACTGTGTTGCAACAGCCTGTGGCCAGAGCTGTTTAAATCCTGTTAAAGTACCTGGCGAGTGCTGCCCAGTGTGCGAGGGTAAGGTGCATATTTTCTGCGTTATAATTCAAGCATCTGGTGACTACTTTTTACTAATTAATTGCTTGCTTACCTTAGAATTTGGGAGGTTATATAATTGATTGCTATAATTATGATAATAATTATATTAATTATATTAATTATAATTATTATAATTATTCTATAATTAGTATATTAGTATAATTAATTCTAGTTAGTATTATAATATGACTGTTTGTATTATTTATGTATAAATACATAAATATGTGGGGGAAGGAGAAATATCGGTTGTGCTTTTTTCTGAGGACTATGAAGAGATGACTGAAATCTGATTGTTATCTTGCTGACAGAAGGATGTAAACTTTATCTTCAGCTAGTGCACTGTGGAATATTATGTATCTCTTCAACATTGTAATGTTTTAGGAATGTAATGGGGGAGTCCTAATAAGAAAACGTGCTAGCACCGAGTTGTGTTAGAATTACTTTTTCAATTATCTCCCRCTTCTACACAGAAGTCTTAAGTTTGTCATGGTACAAAATAACAAAAGGCGGCATTACTTGAGACAGATTTTAATTTCTAATGTTTAAAAACTAGTTTTTAATACTTTGTTGTGTAATTGCCAAAGAGGTTTAGGTAACTGGATGGAAGTGCTTGTGTGCTTTGTTGTTGTTTATAATCAGTGGAAGGGCAAAGGTTTGCAAAATAAGAAATTAAAAACATTCTGTATCATTAGAGTAACAGTATAAAGTACCACCTCATTAAAAATGATGTAGAACTGACTCTTTCATGGCATGGGAATTCTTTAAACAGTTTATTCCATTCTAAATGGTTATTCTAAGAAACTATTCTAGGAAAATGAGTATTTTTAGTTCCTGACGTCCTCTTTCTAGAGGACTAATTGAAATACTCTCATGATGCAGAGTATTTGCTGTCATTCTGCTTCCTTTAGTGGACATGGTGATGGGTAGATGGGAAGGAATATTTTCAATAATTTGAGCGTTTTTACTCCAGTGAAAGAAGTATAGACAAATGTTTACTCCTTCTAGTTCCAAGTTGGAGAAAATAGATGAGAAMAATTGGATTAAATACCTACCTACATCACACTGAGACAACTACAATTAACTGTGGGARGTGAATACAGGTTATAGCTTAGAAATCCATCCTTTATTTCTAAATTTCATAACATAGCTAAGCTAGTTAGTTAGCAGTAGCTAGCTAGTTAGTGTGGTGCTTCACTAACACACCACGCTAACACCTCTGTAGTGTTTTCAGTATCGAGTTAACTCATCTGAACTAGGTGCTATGTCAGCAGACATAGTGCTAGCYTAAGTCCGTAACAGTTATTAGGCTTTCTAAGAAATGTTTATTTGTGCTTGCAGTACAAATTATGTCAAATCATAAAGTCTGATGTATTATAACAGCATAATAGAATCAATATTTAAGTATGATTTTATGTCTCAATAGTTGTATTTCCTTGGACAGTAATAATCCAGATTACATTGTTTGCCGTTTTGTTTGTAATGTTAGCGTACACTTAATTAAGGTGATCGGTTTTCAAGCGTATCAGTTGGAGGAAAGTTATCCTGGATGTAATTTTGAGCAATTCTTAAGTCAATTTCAGCCTCGTGTTTCAGTTTGGTGTCGTTTTAATAGCATATGCTGCCAAAACAGTGGATGAAATATATGAATATTCTATGATCAAATGGTATTCACAGTGAATAACTATAGTGAAATTACATAGAGTGATGGAAAAAAAAAAGGGCTGAAAGTATTTTTTGCTCATGGTAGGAGTGAGAAATGGTTGAGGATTTGAGCATAGACACCAGTGGTGAGATTATGCTTGAACACTCCCTTTGTATCCCCTCCCCTAACAAACAAAAAGGATGATCATGCTATGCAGGGCCRAGAGATTTAATTTCAGGGATTTAAACTTATAAATATTTGAAGGATCGAAAAGCAAATTGTTAAAGCTCAGCAGTGAGTTCAGATGCTATGAGTTATTAAAAAAAAAAAAWTTWA